AGATGGGCTCCCTTATATGCGAGCAGATTGGTGTCTAAGCAGATGTTAAGCGAAAAAACTGCACACAATTTGAATTGATGAGATGCTGTAGGGAAACCACTTAAAGATATGTATAAAATTATACACACATACACATATATACACATAGATATGTTTGAGTATATTATAGTATATATATACATACACACATGTGTATATATCTGTGTATGTGTTTATACACACACATACATATATACAGCATATACAAAAATACATATACATATATACATAGATATATATCCATCTCTATCTATCTATCTATGAATGAAAAAATACTGGGGACCTGATCAGCTTGGCACGTAGCAGTCAGAAAGGCATGATTTCTTTCTTAAGTGGAGACTGTCCGAAGCAGGAACACAAACTAAAACTTCAGACCAAAGCATTCCTGGAAAGAATGGTGTTGGTCACAATGTCTTCACGAAAACACTGAGCAGACCTCAAGTCCAGAGACTGAAATCAAACTTCCACAAGGTCAAAATTTTTCGAAGATGGCTGATGACACATCAAAATATTGACATCCTTTGTTGAAAAAAAATCTGTGTATGTTAAATTATTTTCTGTGACATTTATAATCGTAAGAGAATAATAGCAAAATTAGATTCTTCTTTCTGGGACTTTCAGTGGATTTATGGAACATTGGTTCCCTAAAAGAATTTTTGAGCTGGAAGAACCTCAGAGATCATGGCAGTGTGGTCTAGTGGGTTTGAATCCTGGTTTCGACTCTTAGTAGCTTCACAACCATGAGCAAATCACTTTATCTTATGGGTGTCAGTTTCCCCACTTGTTAGATGGGCCCTACCTACCTCATAGAATTGTTGTGAGGAAAGCGCTTGGCAAATTTTATGTCTTTATAAATGTTAAGATGTCCCCATTCCTAGGGACCTTTGCATCGTCTTAGGGGATTTTAATATTCGGCTTGATTTTTCTTTTGAAGCTTGAAGCACCTTGGTACTTGACACGGATTGTTTTCTCAAGCCAAACACTATCCTCAGCTAAACGGAGCTCTCTTCCTATCATGGCCCAGCCTCAGAGTGCCTGAAGGGTGTGCCAGAGCGAAGGTCTGCGTCTTTCTTCTCTGGGACTTCAGATCATTCTTTCTAGCCCAAACTACGTTCTGTGACAGCCTGGAAAAGGCAGGCCAATTTCCCTGCCCAGATTCAGACAACCTAGGAGGAGTAGGGAGTCTCTGACACTGAATCGATAAGTGATCTTGGTTGAGTCTTTTCATTCTGTGGAGCTGATTTTCTCACCTGTAAAATGGGCTGGACTAGATCAGGGGTTCTTCAATCACTGATAGATTTCAGAGTGGATGTAAAATTCAACTTCGATGGGAAAAATTATACCTTCATTTTTATTGACCGTTCTTTTATGACCCTATGAATTTTATTTTGTGCATTTAAAAACATTATTTTGAGATAGAGTCCATTGGCTTCCCCAGACTGCCAAAGGGGACTAGAATACACACATACAAAACTAAGAATTCCTGGACTAGGTCAGAGTCTGTAGAGTGCTGTAGTGGGGCCTGAATCAGATTAAAATGCAATTGGGTAAATATTTAACACAATAAACAAAAATAAAATAGAATATCAATAACATAAAAATGTGGATTTCTAAGTCAATATATGGCCTGTAGGGATCCTTACATATGTTTTAATGGCCCCCATTTCTCTTTGAGTTTGACACCATTGGACTAGATAATGCCTGGGCCCCTTATTCTAAAATTCTATGATGTCTGTGAGTCTCTGTTTCTTCATTCGTTAAATGGGTATCAGGATTTTTTAACTGGAATGTGCTCTTAAATATTTTTGTGGTTGTTGAGTCATTTCGGTTGTGTCTGACTCTTCCTTGACCCCATTTGGGATTTTCTTGGCAAAGATACTAGAGTGGTTTGCTTTTTCCAGCTCATTTTACAGATGAGGAAACTCAGGCAAACAAGATTAAGTGACTTGCCCAGGGTCACACAGCCAGTAAGTATCTAAGGCCAGATTTAAACTCAGGTCCAGCATTCTGTGCACTATGGCCCCACCTAGCTTAAGGTTAAGTAACTTGCCAACTAAAAAGGCAATTCTGTTATGGGGGAAAAAAAGTATTGAATTTGGAGTGAGACCTAGGTTTAATTCTGACTGGTTCTGGCTAGTATGTGACTTTGGGCAGTTCTTATCACCTCTCTGAGCCTCAGTTTCTCCCTCTGTAAAAAAAGAATAATAACTCTGTATTACATTCTTTACCAGGATGTTTTGAAGATCAAATGAAATCATGTAAAATACAATGATATTATTACCTAAGACTGAGATTTGATTCCAGGTTCTTGGAATCTAAATTTTTCCACTAATTCTTCCCTTCTGGGACTTCCTTGCTTTTGTTTAGGGAAACTGGAAACTCATTTAGGGGTTCTTAACCTGAGATCCATGAACTAGCAGATATTTTTTAAAGAAAATATTTGGATGACTGTATTTCAATATGGTTTTTATAGTTTCATAATGTACAGTTTTATAGTTTTAATATAGGTTTCCTTTGTTTTTTATTTTTTAAATTTAATATATTTTATTTTCCCCCCCAATTACATGTTAAATGTAGATATCCTTTGTAATCCTCCGGGTAGGGTGTCTCAACTACACTAAGACTTTTAGAACACTTTGTATTTTATTTTATGCTTTTAAAAACAGTATTCCGAGAAAGGGTTCATAGCTTTCCTCTGACTGCCGAAGGAGTCTGTAACACAAAAAAAGTTAAGAAGCCCTGCTGTAGACCATTCCCCCTAGTGGTACTATTCCTTTCTTCCAATCAGAAAAGACCCTGGCCCCAAATCTCCCAGGCACTTGGCCAATCAGGAAAAACGGGATTTCCCTAAACAATGCTCCGGACGTGGCTTTCTTCCAGATGGAACTGAGCAGGGTTATGAAAACACAGCACTTGGTTTGACTTTCCTTCAAAGCAACAGTTGAAAGATGACATATTCTGAGCAGCTTGTTGGAATGAGCCTTCCAGAAGCATCGTGAATCCATGAAAAGAGCACCTGCCAAGGAGGCAGTACCCAAAAGACTTGGGTACTGGTATGACGATAACTTGCTGAGTGACCTTTGGAAAGTTTTTACCAGTCTCCAATTCCTTATCTTTAAAAGCAAAAAGCTGGACTAGAAGATCGCAAAGGTGTCTGAATAGGGAAGTAGAATGATACAGGAGAAAGAATGTGCATCTTGGAGTCTTGGGTTCAAGGCTTTGCTTTTACTCCTGTATTGTATCTGCTGTCAAAAGAACCGGGTTTAAATCCTGGCTCTGGAACTTACTACCCCTTATGGCCTTGGATGGAGCACTTAAGTCTTTTGAGCCTCAGTTTCCTCCTCTGTAAAATGAGAAGCTTGGGGTGGGGGGAAGGGGATGATTTCTCTGGTCCTTTCCAGTTTAGAGGCAGTGGGCATATTGTAAAGACTATTTGATGTAAATTTAAATCTTATCTGCAGAGTGTGGGCAAATCATTTCCCCCTCTCTCAATCCATTTCATCTATAAAATAGAGATCAGAACATTTATACAACCTGCCTCATAGAATTGTCTTGAGGAAAGAGCTTTGTAAACCTTCAATCTTGATTTGAATTTGTGTTAATACTGCAATACTGGTAGGTAGAGAAGTATATAGATAAAGCCGATGAGTCCTGTATTCAGATCCTGCCTCTGATTCTTATTGGTTGTGTGATTCTACGGTGAGTCACTTAACCTTTCCATACCCCGGGCAGTTAACTAAAACTTTAAGATGCAGACTGGTATTGGCAGGACTTTCCTCACCAGGAATTCTCTTGTATTGTTGTTATTGTTCAGTCATGTCTGACTCTTCATGACCCTATTTGGGCTTTTCTTGGCAAAGATACTGCAGTGATTTGTCATTTCCTTCTCCAGCTCATTTTACAGATGAGAAAACTGAGACAGAGTTAAGTGACTTCCCCAGCATCATACAGCTAGTAAATGTCTGAGGCAGAATTTGAACTCAGTCCTCCTGACTCCAGTCCCAGCTGCTCTATCCACTGTGCAACCTAACCGGTTCTCAAATTTTTTTGACATCAGGATCCCTTTGTATGCTTGAAAATTGTTGAGGATCCCAAAGAAGTTTTGTGTATGTGGGTTATATTCCTTGATATTAGGAATTTAAGCATTTTTGCATTATTGTAAAAACAGTTTTGACCTCACAGACCTCCCGAAAGGGTTTCTGGTGTTTGCACCACAGTTTAAGACCCACTGCTCTATACCAACGACCTTTCAGGTCCAGACCAAACAAAATAAAAATGCATGCATGATAAGGAGCTCACATACTCATTCTCTCAGGGATATGTGAATGAAAATATGAAAAACCACTCAGGCCTTGCCTTTGAGCACGTTATTATGGTCTTGTAAGGGTGGCACACACACACAAACACGGACATAACGCAAATCCCTGCCCAGAAACATGGGAGTGCAGGTGAGAAAGTGCTCTGGGGACATAAGAGAGGGTCCATTTTCATCTGGGGTTGGGGTCAAAGTAAGAGGGGTGGGGGAAAACTTCGAGTAGGCAACTGAACTGAATCGCAAAGGAAAAGGCTTTCAGAAGCAGACAGGAACCAGAGAATTCAGGGATGGAAGACACCTTGTAGTTAGTCCAAAAGCTCCATTTTACAAATGAGAAAACTGAGGCTCAGAGAGGGGCCTTGAACCTTGGTTCTCTAGCTCCATGTCCAATCTATTTCTATTACAAGAAAGTCAAGCACTTGTTTCTTTGGCTTGGCAGTGGAAAGGACAGAAGCCATAGCGTTGGGAATCTGGGAACCGGGAGGAATAAAACTCTGACAAGAGTGCTCTCTCCCCACTGCCTCCTCCGCCTTCCGACTAGGCCCTTCTCCCAGGCAGCCGAGAAGAAAACTCCCAGAGTGGAGAGTGAATCCTAGAGATGAGTTTGGGGTCAGGGGACTGGGGCAGCGGCGGCATCTGGACTCACCTGTAGGACAATATGGGACTGGGGGGTTGACGTCTCCTGCGGGGCAGCCGCCGGGATCAGGGGTCCGAGGCTGCCAGAGACCACTGCCACTGCCGCAGCCCGGGTCCTCACTCCACTGAGCCCCGAAGTGCCTTTTCACGGGCCGCGCAGGGAGCAGCCGATGGGCTGGCAAAGGGGAGGTGGGTGGCTGGGGGTGGGGGTGGAGGTGGAGTCTATTTATAAACGCTGCAGTGCTAGCGGGAGTTCCAGGCTCCTTTTATAGGTAGTTAAATCTTAACCCTAGAGGAAGGACGCCGCCGAACTCTGGGGAGAAACGGACATCTTTCCTGCCTTTTCTTTTTCTTCTTTTCCCCTTGAGGGAATACATGGGTAGAAGTAGGGATCCAGGGGCAGGGAAAAGGAAGAATATGAAAACAGCCCTGGTCTTGGGGCCAGAAGTCTCAATTCAGCCACTGAGTTTCAGCTCAGCCACTCACCGGCAAGCCTTGTATTCGCTAGATAAGGCGACATTGGGCAAATCATTTCCCACTCTGGGACCCCTTTGAACTACATAACATTCCAGTTCTGAATTTCTGAATAATCCTTAGCAGGCTGCCACCAATTCTCCGTACCCTTCCCTTGTCTCTCTGCTTCCCACCTTAAAGGACCGAGCACATCATCCTAAATCCCATCATAATATCGCATTTATACAGGGTGTCCCAAAAGTCTTAGTGCTGTTTTTAAAGCTAATAGCTTAAAAACTAAAACTTAAAGCTAATAGCGTTTAAAAAACGGCCCTTGGACTTTGGGACAACCGGTTTAACATTTGAAAGCCTTGTGAAGAGTGTTCCTCCCAAGCAACCCAGTGAGATAGGCTTAGCCCGTGCCTGACATATAGTAGGTGCTTAATAAATGTTTATTGATTGATTAAAATGTTATCCTTATTTTATAGATGAGGGAATTAAGGCCCAGCAAAGTTGAATGTCATGTTTAACATCACACAGTTAGTAAATAGTAGAGTAGTGCGTTTTCCTCTGACTCCAAATCTTTTCCCTAGCTGCTAAGCTAACTTCAGTGGAATATGATTTTTTCCTGTACTAGTCAGGAAACTTGGGTTTGAGTGGTAGAAGAAATTGGAGTCTGAAGAGAACTACATTTGAATCTGTCCTCCAACACTTTTTGGTTCCATGACTATGCACCAAGGCACTTAACCTTTCTGAGCCTCAGTGGCCTCATCTGTAAAATGGGAAGAATAATATATGTTGAATCATCTCACAGGTGGGATTTCAGTATGGGTCTTGGTGACTCAAGTCTTGACATTTTTTAAGTGTTATTTTTTGCATCATCCCTTTCTAACGCATCTGCCCCTCCCCCCTTGAAAAAAAGAAGTATATTTAAGCAAAACACATGAACACTTCTTCCATATCTGACAATATAGTGTGTATTCCATTTTGTAAAAAAAAAAAAAGTGTTTAACACAGTTATGGCACATAGTAGGCACTATTTAAATGCTTATTCCTTGCCCCTCCCCCCCTTCCAGAGGGAGCAGGTATGTTTCACCGTACCTCTGGAATGAAAATTGATCATTGTATTGCTCAGAGTTCAGATACTGTTTCAATGTTGTTTTCCTCTTACACATAGTTGTGCAGAGATGATGGCCACCCACCTACCCCCATCTGGCCCATCCCCCATGCAACCCAAAGCAGAGCTTTTGCTCTTGTGGTTATTGTGTAAGTTATTCTCTTGGTGCTGCCCACTTCACTCTGCATGTCTGACACTTCCCCCTGTTTGGTGCTGTCAATATCATCATCATTATCATTATTATTTTGAGTCCTTAGTCTGCTCTTAACTCAGTGTGCACCATTAAACAAATCACTTCACCCTCTCAGGGCCACAATTTCCGTATTTATCAGATGAGGATAATAACAGCTCTCCAAACTATTTCACAGGGTTGTGAGAATCAGGTTACACAATGAAAGTGAAAATGCTTTCCAATGCTACCCAAATGTGAGGTGTTATTATTCAGATCTTGGAATTATCTGGTCTGAATTCTTGCAAATTGACAGATACTTTAACATAGCAAGTACTTTACATCTATCAAGTCATTTAATAACTTACAACAAAATAAGGTGAGTGCAGCAGATGTTATTTTCTCCAGTTTATAAAAAGGGAAACTGAGGCACAGAGAAGAGTCAGTGATTTGCCTCAAATCATATGTCTTAGTGCTTTTTCTGTTATACCAGGTGGCCTATCCTATGGCATTTATCCAATAATAACTGGTGTTATAGTCATTTGTTTTCTTATCTTATCCTCATTGCTACGTTCCAAGCTTCTAACAGGGGTGGGGAACCTGTGGCCTTGAGGCCATATGTGGCCTTCTAGGTCCTTGGGTGCAGCCTTTTGACTGAGTCCAAGTTTTACAGAACAAATCCTTTTATTAAGGGAATTTGTTCTATGAAGTTTGGATTCAGTCAAAGGGATACATACACTTGAAGACCTATAGGGCCACTTGTGGCCTTGAGGCTGCAGGTTCCCCACCCCTGTGAGGGTAGGGACCCTATATTATTCATCTCTCTCCTCCACAGTGTCTTACATGCACAGGGCTTTGTACTGAGCTCAACCAAGACTGGTAATTTTTTTCATAGTACGACATGACTGAGAACTAGAATTAACTTTAGCAATCATCTGGTGAGGGCATTGGGGTCTGCTGAACAGATCCTAGGTGTGGAATCTCAGGAAAGATCTGGGTTCAAATATTAGTTCCACTACTCACTAGCAGTGTGACCATGGGCAAAACACTTAAGTCTCAGTCTCCTCATCTGTGAGAAGGGAATGATGATATCTTTAGCACCTACGTCACAGTGCTGTCAAGGGACTCCAATCAGAAGCTTTGCAAACTTGCATGTCAGTTATTATTAGGACTGCTCTCTCATTTTAAAGATGGGGATATTGGAGCCTCCAGTAATTGGGTAATTACTTGCCTAACATCGTAGACAGTAGCAGAGTCAAGACTGGAACTCAGACCCAATGGCTAAAACCTGAATGCTTTTTCTTATTTTCATATTCCTCAGATTCTTCCAGAGGAAAGAATCTAACAGCCCTGACACAGGGTTTAAACTCCAGAGCAGGATAATTCAAACAGTGAGCCATGATCCCATAAGGCCACGGACTGCAAGACAGAATTGTTAGGTCCTTCTCTAACCCTCTTCCCCAACCAAAAAGTGTATTCCCCACCACACTGGCTCACCAGCAAATGACCCACAGCTCTGGGGAAGCTATTTGCAACTCAATGTTCAAGGTCAGATTCTCTGAGGAGGGTGGGAGGAACCAGATGAAAGGCAATCATTTGCTTCTCTCCCTGCCAGATTTCCATCTGACACTTATGAAGCCCAACAGATGTCCCCGAATGGTATCTCCCCCATCCAAGGGGGGATGAATGCTTGACATCCTTTTGAGTAGACAAATCTGGAATATATATTTTTTTCTGGGATTCCATTTGACAGCTGTCTACTTTCTATCCACAGTTTGCCCCTGTATTCTTTTAGACAGCTGTCCACAGTTCACCCTTTTCAGTGCTTTCTGATGTTCTGATTATATCTCAGAGAGTCTCTATTATTACAATGCTCCTGAGTTTTACCACCCACTAAATCTTATAGGATCGTAACAACATGGGATTTAGAGCTGGGAGGACATATAAAGCTGGACTCCAACATCCTTATTTTATAGAGCAAAGGAATATAGCTAGAAGGGACCTCATGGGCTGTCTCATCCTTCCCTCCCTCATTTTACAGATTTGGAAACTGAGACCCATGGAAGTTAAATGACTTGCTCAAGGCCACACAAGTAGTAAGCATCAGATGGGAGATTTGAACCCTGGTTTGTCTGACTCTCTAGCCAGTGCCATTACACTTTTTCAATTATGAGCCACCTGCATCGAAAGAAGAAAGAGCAATTTAGCCAGTAAATATCAGAGTTAGGATTTAAACTAGAACTTAGGACTTCAGATCTAATTCTCTCTGCTACACTGGCTCCTCTTTCAATAAGGAAAATATAGTCAAACTCTGACCAACTGTCTCTTAGGGCATCTAGGTGGTGCAGTGGAGAGAGAACTGGACCTGGAGATTGGAAAATCTGAGTTCAAATCCAGCCTCAGACACTTACTGTGATCCTGGGGAAGTCACCTAACTGCTGCCTGCCTCAGTTTCTTCATCTGTAAAAATGAGGATAATAATAGCACCTACTTTCCAGGCTTGTTGTGAGGCTCAAATGTGATGATGGAGGTTAAGCTAAAAGGTGCTTTAAATATTCTAGCTACTTCCTCTATTCCCATCACTACAACCCTATTTATAGGCACTTCCATCATTCATCTGGACTGTTATATCCTCATGTACCCAGAATTTAAGGCCCTCTCTACCCCTGATCTAGCACCACCTGACCTTTTCATCCTTACTCAGACTGGTCTCTTGCACACATTCTATACTCTAGCCAAGCCAAACAATCCTCTGTTCACAAACAGCTCCCAAGGTCTCCCTCTTCAACTCTGTAATTCCTGCTCGGGCCAGCTGAAGTGCCACCTCCTCCACTAAGCTTACTTAGATCTTCCCTGGTTGGCAATGATTGACTTTCTTCCTCGGCCCTCACCTAGCATTTTGGAGCTTTGCTTTGGGTTCTGTGGGTTGAGTATTTGGCTTTGTGCCTCCGATGAATTTGTCTTGTAATGCCATGTATGATACTGTGAAAAATGATTTTTCTTAGTAATCATTATCTTGGAAACTCAGAGCTTCCCCACCCCCTTTCTTTCAAAGTTCAGTCCTTCTTCAGAAGGACATTAAGATGTAATCTAAATGGGCCTATTCCTGCTCATTATGTGGTCTAGACAGTTCTGGGAGAACGTTGATTCCTCCCTATTGTCAAGACAGGCAATATGGAAATTGATGTCTCTGACCAGGATTGAGTGACCTGGGTCACGTACTGAAAGACCCTCATTTTAATATAGCCCGCCTCCCAGAGTTGATTGGCGTCTCTTGGGAATGCCTATTCTTCCAAAACACATTTAACCTGTATCCCCAAAAACCCCAACAGGCCCAGTTTTGGATTAAACTCCCATGCAATGCATGTCAAGCCCCCTTGAGCGCAATTAAACTGTGGATACAAACACCCTGATTTTGTTTGTTTCTTTCTT